GGGGGAGAGGGTGGCGGGGGTGGTAGCCGGGTGCAATCTACATGCGCCCCGCCCAGCCGCATTGTGGTGTCAACCGCTGCGTAGCTCGCGGTGCGTGCGCGCGCGGCCCGCGCCGCCGCCCCGACGCGCGTGCTCGTGAGTCAGTGTGGGAGCCATCGGGCGGGACAGCCCGCGAGGAGGCTCGGGGCCTCTAATCCCGGGGACTGTCATCTCTCCGGGAGCGCGCATGAAGCGGACTTTCATTTCCGACAGGGGAGGTGTGCTTCCGCCTGCTGGGCGCCCGCGTAATGTGTCGTCGGGGGTATACGGGTCGGGGAGCCGTGTCGTGCTGTGTGTGTGTATGTGGTTCCTCTGGGCGAAGTTATATAGTGTCGCCCATCTTTTAGCACTGCGGAGGCGTTCGCCCGAGTCTGACACGGCCTGACAATCTTCCAAGCCGATGCAGAGGTGAACTATCCTGCCGCGTTTAAAACCGTGGATGTCCGTGGCGCTCCAACGTTATTTCAATCTTTTTTCCAAAAAATCCGCAGTCTAGCGCCTGGGAGGTAGGCCGTCAGGCCCGCCCTATGTCGGCCGTGTCCACCCAGTTGCCTATCCCGGGCTCGTCAGGCGCTCACGCGTCGATACCCAGTTCGCACAATACCGGAAGTGGCGGGAGTATTTTGGGGTGAACCTTGCAGGATTTATACCTACATGTCGCATGGATGAGTTATTGTACAAAATGAATACCGCTAGCCAGCAGGGAACGGGTCAGTTCGATAGGACAAACTTCGGGAAAACAGTCTGCTTGCGGTGCGTTTCCTGGAGATGATGCGTTTCTAGACACACATGCCTTTTTCCAAGCTGGGGAGGTGTCCCACTCATTAGTCGTGTACTCATTATTTCGCTTCATTGCTAATCAGTTCGCGCTTCCTGAGAGCGTGGTGCAGTGTGGCTTGTAATATGCAGAGTGGGCACCCCCTTTCCCCCCCTCACGAACACACACAAACAAACACACACTCTCGCACAACGCTCATACAACATCTCACACCGGTGCAACGCCGACGGTGAGCGCTAGCGCTAGTCCGTTGTACAGACGCGCGAAAAACATGAAAGCAATCGCTATTCTTTTCCTTTCGTTTATAGTGCAGTGGCGCCCCCCGCCCGGACAGGTGAGAGCGAGCATCGGCGCACCAGGCACCATAAGGGACTACGCGCGAGTGTGTGTGTGTGTGTGCATGTGTGTGTATGCTGGGCTAGCCTACGAGGAGTACTTCCCCGTGCGAACAAAAACATATGCGCTGTAATTGTGTGGCTGTTGGCAGGCCTGGCTATTGTTGCTGCCCGTAATAGCCGCAGCCGCAGCCGTCCCGGTGAACCGTGCAGCTGGCGCCACCGTCGCCGCCTCCCCAGCTGCCGCTGCAGCAACATCAGTGTCGTCGGCAGCGTCAGCAGGCAGGTAAGGAGACCGGGCCCGGGCGTGATATGGCCCTCTGAACACACACATACACATGGACACGCACACGCACACACACGCGCACTGGACCCAAGCCACGCAGCCCTGGCAGAAAGGGAATTGCCCGGCCGCGGCGCGCCGCGCGGTGCCGCGCCGGTACGCGAAAGTGCTCCAAATAGCGCCTGGTGCCGACTGGCCCGTCCCGCTGGCCGCCGGCCGGCAACGGCCGCCTCACTGTCCAGCGTGCCTTACGCATCACTCCTCCGTTTTAAAACTTTCGCTCTACCCGAGGATTAGAGACAATGCATTCTCAGGATGTGTAAAATGGAGATGCCGTTCGAGTGAGTTCTCTTCAAGTATGGCTTCTCTGTCTCTGTCCGCAGGTACATGGCGGGCCGGCCTAGGATATTCGCCAACTCGCTGGGGGACGCCATCGAGGGCGTGGGCTTCCTACCGCTGACGCTGAACGTCCCGGACATGCTGAGCAGCATGGCCAGCGGCATAACGTCACTCATGGGCCAGGCCCTGGCGTTCGTCATCCCCGCCGAGACCGAGTCGCAGCCCCGGCGGCCTCGGCCCACGGCCAGGCCCACCGCCCGGCCCGTCACGCGCCCGCCGGCCGTGCGGCCGCAGAGCCCGCCCACGCACGCCATCCCCGCTAAAAAGAGAAGGAAGAAGCCTCAGCCAACACAGCTCCAGCTCGTCCCCCAGGTCAACAAGGTCAAGAAGAAGCCCCTCTTTTGGCCTCCACCCCCGGCCCTCCCCCCGGCCCCGGCATCCTCGGCTCCCCCGCGCAGGAAGGGCGTGGCGTCCACCGCGAGCCCCTCGGCCAGCACGACGCCGCCGACCAGCACCACGACCACGCACGCGACGGCCCTCCCGCTGGTGACCAGCACCCCGCCGCCAGCTCGGCCTCTACCGCCGGCGGTCACTCGGCCTGCGCACGGCGCGCACAGCCCCTCCGGCGGCGGCCCCAGGCCCGCCTCGCAGAAGCCGCCCGTCAACAGGCCGCCCGCCCCCGTTGTGAACATCACGCCGAAGCCGCTCCCCGCCTCGACGCTGAGGCCGTTTGCGGCGGGCGGGAGCATCGTCCCCAGGCCGCCAATAGGAAGCGCTCCTGTACAGAGGCCGCTGGCCATCCAGACCCCTGCATTAGCCTCCAGCCCCCCCAGTCCTATAAGTACCCCCAGTCCTTCCGGACCTTTCAGCTCTACAAGTCCCTCCAGTAGCATGACCACTTCCAGACCCTCTCGACCCTCACCCTCTCGACCAACGAATTCCCCTAGTGTGTTCAGTAGTACATCCAGTGCCCCCATTCTCTTAAACCTCTCGAGACCCACCAGGCCCACAACTAGTTCCTCCAGTGCGCCTAGTACGTCTAGTGCCCCCAATCTCTCCAACTATTTGAGACCTTCCAGACCAACTACTCCCCCCAGCGTGCCTAGCACGCCAAGTGCCCCCAGTCTCACCAGCCCATCAAGGCCCCCCAGACCTCGACCCCCGATAACCCCCTCTTCCTCTAGTACCCCAGCCCTCATCCTGGTACTTTCCAGCACTTCCACCCCTCCCAGCACCACAGCCAGTCCGTTCAGGCCGAGTAGCACCACAAAACGGCCGTCTAAAAAGCCACCTAAGAATGCTACCACTGCACCTATCCGAGAGCCCGGCAAAGTCACCAAGAAACGTAAGAAGAAGCCGTCGAGGAGAAAGACTGCTTCTCATCTTCGGGAGGAGGAGACCGTTAGTGCTTGATTTTTAGATGATTGTGTTGTTCGTCTTGTTTTTTTCGACGATGAGTAATTGTGATATTATTTATGTGTATATTGTGTAATCGACCATCCACCGACTAGTTTATCACTAAGAGATGACTTACAAAATGTTTAACATTTAACTGACAAGCTTAACCTAATGATTTGCGAGTTATTTTTCATTGCTTAATATGAGGGGCAGTAGAAAAAAAACTCAAGCGGACGCCTAAAACTATTTATACTGCTTTCTTGTCACATTACATCACATGCATGTTCTGAGGCATTTCAAACAAAGACATTTCACACTTTTATCTGTCATCGTGAAATTAATAACTGAATATTTTCCTTCCTCTTTGAAATACTCCATTGTGAAGAAATACCATAATTGCAACTGTAGGCATGCCTCTACAACGGTCACATAATGCATTTTTTCTTAAAGACAATAAAATTCTTTTGTTTAAAAAAAATACCAGTAATTTTTGTGTGCAGTGAGGTCCACTCGTAGGCACGAGGAGCCACCACAACGAGGACCCGACCGGTCGGTCGGCCCTTGAAGAAGAATGGGGACGAGCCAAGCAGACTCCATCGGCAATGCGTCCTCCGCGGAGCTCGCGGGGTTTAAACCAGACAGAACGACCACAGTTTAACAGAAACGTCGAAAGTGTCGAAACTGCTCGAGGCGTTCCTATAGCAGCGCTGAGGGGCGCATTCAGAGAAACTGACTCGGCCCCAAATACCAAAACCACATCAGTCCGTCCACGGCCACTGAACAGCCTCACGGGGAGGCTTCGGTGTACACAGGCTTCCTGGAGTACTGCAGCGCGCTGGCCAGAGCACCCTCTTGTCCAGGGGCGACCTGGGCGTCATGTACGGCGGCCACCGGGATGGCGCCAAAGTAGACGGCGCGCTCGGACAGCGTCAGGGGGTTCTCCTCCGGGGAGGGGGGGCCCGTCCGAGACGAGTCGGGCGCCTGGACGCCGGGGACGGGGCCGGACTGCGACGGTGGCGGGTTGACGCCCACCAATACAGGTGCCGGGTACCGAAAGCTGTAGAAGAAGCCGTCTGTCTTGGTCTGCGTCTGGAACAAGGAAATAACAATTTTTTAAAAAAATAACTCATTAAAGGGTGGCATTCTATTGATCTCTGAAATAGCCCTACGATTGAGTGTTGCTACATATCTTTATTTTTCTGTGTCTGAGGACGTCGTATGGGGAGGGG